CAGTGAACGCTAAAACACGGCTGACCGGGAACGCGGCGGCACGGCGCCAGCCGCCGCGTGGTGCTAGTGTGCGCGTAACTAACGGGGAGACTTCAACGCCTGGCGCCGCCCCGACAGGCTTCCGTTCAACCGCTCGCAGCAGGCTAGGTTTTCGTCCCAGATTTTTTTGATTGGTATCCTACGGCTTCAAACATGCCAGGGACCAATAAAATTTAGTAGTGAAGACGATTAAAAAAAATCAAAATTCGACGATACACCCTATTCGATAGCCCTTTTACATACCTTTCTGAATAATGGTCTCAGATTTGACCTCAGGTCAACGGTTTAGCCTCCAGAGGGCAAAAACTCCAAAAATAGCCGTTTTTACGAAAAGCGTTTTTCGCCAATAACTTTTGACTCAAAAGAGCCATGACATTACTTTTGCCAGCATCGTGTTCCTCTCGTCGAGACGCGTCGAATGAACTATAATTTGACCTTGAAAGGTCAACTTGAAAATTTGACCTCAGGCCAAGGTCATGACCTTACCGGAAAAGGGCATGTTGCATTTCAGTCGATCCGCAACGTCGAGCCGAACACATCTAAGGCGTTTTCAGCGCTCTAGCACGCCTCTATCAGAAGTTATTAGCGAAAAACTGTTAGATTCTGTTCGTGACCTAAGATGACCTCGGGGACATAACCAGGGGTCACAGTTGCCATTTTCCGGTTCAGTGTGTCAATTTTACCTACATCTCGATGTTTGAGAGTGTCTAGAATAGCGTTCGTGCAACACAGACGCTTTTCAATTTTCTCCCATTGACTTAAAATGGAGAGGTCGCAAAATTGACCTGACCTTCGGTCACCGATATCAAAATTGCGAGGTATAAATTTTATAGATAATGTTGCTCTAATAATTGTTGAAAGTTTCAAAGCAATCGATCAATCGGTGTAGCTATGACGAGCATTCTTATTTTTTCTTAGGTGAGGTCACTTGGCGTGACCTGGTGACCTGACCTAAGGCGACCTGGGTCTGAAATTTGCACAACATGTGCGGAAAAGATGCCCGAACAGGTGTGCCAAAAACGGCGGCGCGGATCTGCGAAAAACCGCAGGGGGGGGGGGGTGGTGTTCAAACACCCCCTCCCCCCCCCGCCCGGGTTAATAATGTCACGTGACCTTACAGTTGCCCAAGAGCAAAAACAGGCCCCAAGGTAGTCAAGGTTGATCGTAAATGAAGTGATTCATGGTATACTAGGCCCTTCCGACGCGTTTCAGTGAAAAAAAAATCAGGCAGTTGATTTTTCCCCGTTGGCATATAATGGGGAGAAATTGACCTGACCTTGGGTCATCGATATCAAAATTCCGAGATAAACAAATTGTAGCTACAAATGACCTCATTACATCCTGCAACTTTCATAAGACGACTTCTACACACTGCTGGAGGCGGCGATCGCGGACCACGTGCCGGTGGTGACTCTGGGACGCAGTTATCCCCCGTGGTTCAGCCAGGAGGTACGAGCCGCTCTCCGGCAAAAGGAGGCCGCCTACAGGAGACTAAGAAGAAACCGGCAGGAGGAGACGGATCGTGATTTTACAGATAAGCGACGCGTCTTTAAAAACCTGGCGAATGGCGCGTATATAAAGTACCTTCGTGATCTTACTGACGATTTTAGAACTAACCCGAAGCGTATGTGGTCTTTTTTGAAATGTTTCAATAGAAAAGGCGGAACTGCCCCGATTCTAACAGATGGTGTCAGGAAGATATCGGATAGCAAAGAACGAGCCGAACTTTTGAACCGCACTTTTGCTGCTAAGTTTACTGACCCGTCGGCCAGCTTTTACCCAGACGTTATTAGTCACAGCATTTCCAATCTGTCGACTCTTCGTGTTACTAGTAATGATGTGCGCAGGGTTTTGCTGAGCATCCCCAGTGGCAAAGCTTGTGGACCTGATAACATCAGCTCTAGGATAATCAAGGAGTGTGCCGAAGAGCTTGTAGCACCGCTAACCATACTGTGTCAACTGTCCTTTAAACAAGGCGTATTTCCCTGTAAATGGAAACAGGCGAATGTTGTTCCGATTCATAAGAGTGGTGACCGCACCAACCCGAGGAATTATAGGTCAATTTCACTGCTGCCTTTGTTCGGTCGCGTTCTTGAGAAGATCGCCTGCGACATATTGATGCAACATGTTCGCCCTGTCATATCGGATGCTCAGCATGGCTTCTTATCCGGCCGCTCTTGTACCACGAACCTGGCTGTGTATCTGTCTCATGCGTGGGAGACCCTGTCGGAGGGATGTCAGACGGACGTTATTTACACAGATTTCTCGGCCGCCTTTCAAAGTGTTAACCATAAACTGCTGTTACATAAGCTTCAAAATTCGTTCCACGTTGAGGAACACGCCTTAAACTGGTTCGTCTCATATCTCTCCGGCAGGGCCCAGCGTGTTGTGTTAAATGGCAAAACGTCAGCATGGACTCCTGTCATCTCCGGAACTCCGGAAGGCGGAATTTTATCGCCGCTGCTCTTTTGCTTGTACGTCAATGACCTGCCTTCTGTCGCGGAGTCGCACTCTTTGATGTACGCGGACGATTTGAAACTGTTTCGATGTGTACGGTCAGAAGATGACAGCGTTCTTCTACAGAAAGATTTGAACCACGTATCGGATTGGGCGGAAACATGGAAATTGGCCCTGAATGCATCGAAGTGCAAAACCATGTCACTCACTCTAAAGCGAAATCCTGTGCAATATGTATACACAGTTAGAGGGACTGTCTTAGAAAAGCTGGACACGATGCGTGATCTCGGTGTTATGTTAGACAGTAAGCTAACTTTTACCCCACATGTCGACAGTGTTGTTTCCAAGGCCCGCCGCGCGTTAGGCGTTCTCATGCGATCATTTCAGCTGTGTCACAGACAGAACGGACTCCTGAATGAGAAGGCTATTATGGCCGCGTACACTGCCAACGTGCGCTCTATCTTAGAATATGGATCGCAGATATGGGCCGGAGCAGCGAGTACACACCTAGATAGAATAGAACGTGTCCAGCACAAGTTCCTTTTATGGTTAGCACATCGCACAGAGACCGGACGACAAGCGAGGGATTTGTCGTACGATGCGCTGTTGGACTTGTTTAAACTGCAGACGCTTGCATCTCGTCGACAGCAACATGACATTGTCTTCTTACATAACATTATCCAGGGTAGATGTGACTCGATGTATCTTTTGGGCCGTTTCTCTATTCGTGTACCATCCAGAAGCACTCGCTACCGTGCTGCTTTTTTCGAGCCTGTCGCCAGAGTGAATACTATTAAAAACGGCATGTTTTGTAGATTACCCAGACTCACCAATGTTTTTCTTGCACGCTGCCCTACCGTTGATATGTTCTGCGACGGCAAGGCGACGATTATCGCACGACTAGCCAGGTGCCTGACAAGTGACCATCTGTAATGTTGTGACGCATATTTATTTATTTATTGTTTGTGTTTTATCTTCTCGACTTTGCCTATCATTGGGAATCTGTCCTGTTGGCAATAAACTGAATAAATACGAAAATACGAAATAAGACGTCATCAACTGTAGTTCTGACACGGTGACAAAGTTGCAAAAAAGTGATTTGAGGTCGGATCATTCGAAGTGACCTGGTGAGGTGACTTGACCCTGAAAGGTAGGAAGTTCAAACTTGCACACAATGTGTAAAATTGATGGGGAAAAGTCATGCCTAATTTCGCAAGTTTATAACCGGTGAGCCTGGCGCAGCCAGGGCCGGGGGGTGAGACCAAGCTGGCATTCACGCGGTAATTTTGCCCTTGGTGACATCCAGTGACCTCAGCAATGATCTGATCGAAAAATGTATGTGTGTAGGTATGCATTTAAGTGGAGGCATGCATTAACCCTATTACTGGTGGGGGGGGGGGGGGGCGAATCGGCCCCCACCTGTAGTTTTTTTGCTTTCGACGGAAAACCAATCTAGCTACGGGCTTGAAATTTGGTGACTTTTCTTTGCCATTCATTGGGCACATTGTGTCAAATTTTTTAGTTTCTAGCTTGCGCAGAGGCGTCTCCAGGACGAGTTTCTCGGGGGTAGTTTTGGCCCAGCTTTGACTGTTCCGACATTTGCCGCTAAGCAGCGACTTGGTTTGTAATGGTGATCAGTGGCACCCCCGTCATATGTATGCACCTAAAGACTATGTGACGTCATTCTACAATGAAAATATTGCAATAGGCGGACCCTGGTACCTGAGAAAGGGGGGAGGTAATCTCAATGTACTGCCCCCCGTCTTAGCATGCCTGAGTCCGCCTATGCTTAACGAAAACGTGTATTTTGTGCTAACGTTGCATATTTTACATGATATAGCTAGGTGACATATCATGTCATAAGACACATGACATGCCATGACAAAAACTCAAAACATCATCCCAAGTTAGGTTACCTGAATTGAATCCGCCTATGATTTTTGAAATATCAAAAATGCAGGAATAAATATGATAGACCAGTTCATGAAGAGGGGTCCCCCTGAAGTTTCATCAAAATCGGTCCAAAAATAAAGAAATTATAGCATTTTTAGTGATAAGGTGTAAAACGCGATTTTTTCGAAAAATTTTGCTTCCAGGACCCCCAATTTTGAACTTTTTTTTACTTTTTATAGCGAATCTGAAAGTTCACGATGAGAGCGATCGAATTGCGTTTGTCCCATTAAGATCGGACATTTAGTTTTCGAGATATCAAGGGGGGCGAATCGGCCCCCTCAGTTAACGTAGTCCGGAAAGCCCACCAGTAATAGGGTTAATATCATAGTTTTCCACATGCGGCGTGGAGATACAGCTCAAATGACCTGAATGGTTCTTAAAGGTCTTATAGCGAGCTATATATTAGGCTTTTCCGCGTCTTTCTAGCTTTCTAGCTTTCTCAGTTTTCGTGATAATGGGACGTGCCCCCCCCCCCCCCCCCCCCCTCCAAGTGCAGGTTGACGCGAATGAGACAAATGAATCACCCGTCGCAAAATTGCATCCAGACTTACCGGTACACATGAGGATAATAGGGTGGTCCACTCATTTTGGTGGCCCGCTAACGCATGAGTTTACCTGAAAGAGAAGAAAAATATCATTAGCACCATGCCGGTTCCGTAGCTCCGTCGGTAGAGCGTTGGATTCCGCGTGGTGAGAGCATGACACGTTCCCGGTTATAACAGCCAGGTTCGAAGCGCGACGGGCGCTTGACGTTTATGGGCCTCCTGACAGGTATGGTTGCGGCTGATAGCAGGCCGTAGCCAGGGGAACTCAGTGAGGGGGTCGGCCGTGCGCGGCTATGTCAGTTGGGGAAACTACGAGGCGCCAAACTAAAATTGGATCAGCCAATCAACGGCTGGAGTGGGCGGGGCGATGACCATATATGGTCATCAAATCAGAAAACTTCATCTTTTCCACGCATCCTAGCATTCAAATGAAAAAATTAGGCACAATAATGTTTTTTAACCACACAAGGCCTACACTCACTCGGTGAAAGATGCACTGGCGGCTCTAAATCGCAGAGTTACAGACCAGTACAAGGTCAAACAGTGATTGCCAATATGGCGGATTGAAACAGACGCGCCAAAAAATGTAAGCAGCACCATCGTTTTAAAATGTCATTATTTCTATTATTTTGTATATGGTTTTTCCAATTGTGGTTAAATAATTATTTTCAATTTAAATATCTTTATTTATTTTAAATCTTTTAACACGCGCACCGACGGGGGGGCGGATATCCGGCCCCCCCCCCCCCTGAGGTTTTTCGGGAATAGCGGGAAAACCGCGGCGGGTAGCGCCGCAAAATTTGGTACGACAATTCTCTCATCAATTTTACACATGGTGTGCAAGTTTGAACCTCCTAACTTTTAAGGTCAGGTCACCAGGTCACTTTGAATGACCCAACCTCAAGTCACTTTTTTACAACTTTGTCACCGTGCCAGAGCTACAGTAGATGTCGGAGGCCTTTGAAAGTCGCAGGATGTTATTAGGTCATTAGTAGCTACAATTTGTATATCTCGCAATTTTGATATCGGTGACCTAAGGTCAGGTCAATTTCTCGACCTCCCCGTTATAAGTCAATGGCAGTTGGGGAAACTACGAGGCGAATGTCAAAAAATGGATTGGTCAATAAATGGACTTTTGATGACCATATATGGGCATAAATGCAGCCCCCGCTACTAAGGGTGAAAAACGGTATAACAAGCCGGTACTTGCGGTATCGCGTCCACTTATTGGAGAGAAAAGGCTTCCATTTTTCACTAGGAATTAGTGTGATTTGATTAAATTCGGCGAATTGACTCGAAAATGGCGATAGGAAAACGGCTTTTCTGCAGGTTCTGGGCGTCACAATCAGCTGGCCATTCAATAAATGGATTGGTTTTATGAAAGAAAATTGTTAAAAGATTTAATTTAATTACAATAAACAAAAATATTCAATTCTAAAATAATAACTTAACTACAATTAGAAAAACCATAAACAAAATAATAAAAATAATGACATTTTTAAACCACGGTACTGCTTACATTTTTTGGCGCGTCTGTTTCAATCCGCCATATTTGCCAATCACGGTTTGACCTTGCGTTGTAACTCTGCGATTTAGAGCCGCCAGTTAATTATGCACCGGGTGAGTGTAGGCCTTGTGTGGTTAAAAAACATTCTTATGCCTTATTTTTTCATTTGAATGCTAAAATTCATTGAAAAGATGAAGTTGTCTGATTTTATGACCATATATGGTCATCGCCCCGCCCACTCCAGCCGCTGATTGGCTAATCCAATTTTTGTTTGGCTCCTCGTAGTTTCCCCAACTGATGGGGGAAAATCAACTCCCTGTTTTTACCACTAAAACGGGTCGGAATGGGGTGAAACTAAATGTTTACTTCGAAATCTAAGCTACGTTGCGGCATTGGCGGTTATGTGCGGCGTGTATGCCGCATGATTAGTAAGCGGCGACCACTAAATTAAAGACTCAAACGCTCCGACCGGTTTTCAATGAATAACACTGCATATCAAAAATGCAAACCGCTCTCGTCATAAGATATTTAGATCTAAATAAATAGGTTATCTACATCATCATTTTGAACCAAATTAATACTTCCAACTTAACCCTCGCCGACACAGGGGGGGGGGGGGGTTGATGCAACCCCCCTAAGGTTTTTTGCGAATAACTCGCGTAAAAAGCGGCCGATCGCGACGACTCTTTCAGTTCCCTCGCATTTATCAATTTTACACCCACCCTAAAGTTTCATGACCCTGACCCAAATGACCTTTGACCTGTGACCTACTTTCCGAGACCATGTTTGGCCGGAATCGCGATTCGGCGTATGTCGGCTCGCATTAGCCGCGCGTTTGCAAGCTTTTCGTGGTTTCAAACGTTCAAACATGTGATTTGATGTTGCTCCCATGCATTAGGGTGGATGTCAAGGTCACCTGAAGGTCAGGTCAGGTCATTGACCTTTGGTGACCTCGGTTCACTTTTTCGAGTTTTACATGTTTCTAGGCTAGTTTTTAGAGCTGATTTCGAATTTAGCAACCATTTGAACATTTAAGAAGTAGTTTTGGTGCATTTGTAACATGTTACGAAACTGCAGAAGCGGTTGACACTTATTACGAATACCCGTCAGTCGTCACGACCCCTACCGGTTGACCTGACCTGACCTGCCCCGACCTGGTGTAAATGCTTAAAGACATCATTTCTGATCAAAACTAACACGATATTCGTGATCAGCACCCCGGAAAACCCCATGGCAGCCACACTTTACGACTTTCTAACAGGTCCCGATTTTCCCGATTTTCGGGTCATTGACTTGACCTGGAAGGTCACCCGATGACCTCGGACCTTAAAATTGGATATCATTGGCTTCCTCTCGTGACGGGCAACACGCTGGTTTTTCCGCGAAGCTCTAGCTCGATCAGGGGCCAAACGCGAGGGGGGTCGTACCCCCCCCCCCTTGTGCCGTCGAAGGACGCAAAATGGCCTGTGCCGGTGAGGGTTAAAATTGGGTACCTATCATCGGCTTCCTTTCGTCACGGGCAACACGCTCGTTTTTTCTGCGAAGCTCTAGCTCGATCAGGGGCCAAACGGCAAGGGGGAGTCCAACGGACCCCCCCCCCCCCCTTATACGTTCGCGGCTGGAAAAACACCAATACGGGCGAGGGTTCAGGAGGGAAGAGAGTCGGTGACGGTCAGGGGCACTACAAGCAGATTAGCAGAGCACCATAAGCCGGTGACAGGGCTGACATGCCTTGTTTTGATAGCATGACTGAAACAGACTTTATTGGGTAGCCAGGAAATCGCATGCGAGAGCCTATTCAAATTCTTACATCGGCCTTGCCTTTATATGCACCAGTCGCATACAGGTACGGGATTTAGCATACGATTTCCAGACAATCGAAAGACTGTTTTGAGCCAACAAAAGAAGGAATGAGTGAGTTAAGTTGAAAGTATTAATTTGGTTCAAAATGATGATGTAGATAAGTTATTATTTAAATCTTAATATCTTATGACGAGAGCGATTAGCATTTTGGTATGCAGTGTTATTCATAGAAAACCGGTCGGAGCGTTTTAAACTTTAATTTAGTGGTCGCCACTTACTAATCATGCGGCATACACGCCGCACATAACCGCCAAAGCCGCAACGCAGCTTAGATTTCGAAGTAAGCATATAGTCTCACCCGTCGGAATGGTCCCATATACCATACATGACTTCATATACGATCAAACTTCACTACCTTGAGGTCTGTTTTGCTGTTGGGCAGCTGTAAGGTCATGTGACGTCATCAAAGGTCACCAAAGGTTTTTTGCCAATAACTCCGTACAGGAACAAGATACAGCCGCGCGGATGGCCTCATTGTGTTCAGCTCGTCAAGACGCATCGAATGATATACATGATGACCTCGAGGTCACGTGACCTGAGGTCAACCTTTGACCTTGACCTTTCGAGGTCAACATACAGGGTGTCCCCAAAAAATGTACCTCATTTGAAATTAAGATATCTCAGTGCCTGAGCATACAATGATCCTAAATTTGGTACCATATGAAAGCTTATTCCATAGCATTTTGTTTGATATAAACTATTTTACTGTACGTTACATGACAGCCGAGTGATAACGAAAGAGCAAAACCCTTGCAATTTCGCACTTGAATTACTGCCACAAGTTTTTCTAAATTGTGTTTCATGTCAACTGAAGACATCTCAGAAAATACGCACGTGATGATAGCTATCATATATTTTATTAAAGCTAATTTCATGGCAATTAATGCTCCACATCTTTCATTTTGCACAATGGGGCAACTGAGCAAGGAGGAAAGGATTCAAGTTGCACAATCCTACCACAAAACCGGCTCTGTGGTGCAAACACAGCGGAAATTAAAGGCCACTTCAAAACAAACAAACAAAAAAGCTCCTCCCACAAGTGTGCAAAAAGTGTGTGAACAACATCAGCCTCCAATGGCTACAGCAGGACGGGGCTCCTCCACACACTTCCGAGATCAACGATGGTCTGGCTCAACGAGCGCATGGGTGATCGGATCATTTCCCAGCGTGCCAACGTTAGCTGGCCGCCACACTCACCAGACCTATCGCCTCTTGACTTTTATCTGTAGGGGTTCCTCAAGACTAGAGTGTGGTATACGCAAAGAATCCTCAAACTCTGGACCAGCTGAGGAACTCGACCCGGACATGCATCCGGAAAATCCGGCTTGAAACATGTGCCCGCGTAGCCCAAGAGTCCTAAAGACGCTCCCCCATGTGTGCCGAGCAAACGGGAGGGCACTTCGAGCGTTAGCACGGCTGAACCTTTAACTGCGATGTGATGCGATGTGTGTTTTTTATGTTAACAATGCATGAATGAAACCTAGTTTCAATAATTCTAATTGTTTTCTTTTGAGTTGCTGAAAATATCGGCAAACAATTGAAAGCTTTTTTCAGAAACACCCGTTGAAATAGTTGAAGAGCGAAATAGTTGAAGAGCGAAATTGCAAGGGTTTTGCTCTTCCGTTATCACCCGGCTGTCACGTAACGTACAGTAAAATAGTTTATATCAAACTAAATGCTATGGAATGAGCTTCCATATG